AAAATTTATGTGATGAGAATTTTAGATGTAAAACGCCTAAATATCGTAGGAATAATATTTGAATATGATGCATGATCACGCTTTCTATTTTTTTTTATTTCTTTCATTCATTTGACACATCTTTTATAACTCTGCAATTTGGCTTGCCTTAACATCAACCAAACTGTACTTCAACTAAATATACTTCAACCAATTTACTGCTTTTATCTTCGATTTGAGAAGATAATTTATTTAATTTATTAGAAGATAATTTAGGAGAGATAAATTATCTCTCCTAGAGAAAGGAAACACGCATTAATATATTCAATATGTTTGTATATAAAAAATGTTGGATATAAAATATACAAATATTGCAAGTATTGTTTTGTTATATGTAATAATTCATTCCTTATTTTATGTATATTCTATAACATTAATTATTTAAATAAATTATATACTACAATAAATTATTAAAATTAACATTAAATTTCTTAATTTATATAAAGGAATGAATAAGATTTTCTATTTAAAGGATGAATAGTAATAATCTTAGGGAATTACAAATACAATGCAAACATATTTAATTAAGAAATGACTCAATTTTGATACAATAAGAAGATACAAAATAGGATATTTTATTTAATACCTCACTTTTTCTAATCAGTAGAAAGATGTGTTGCTAAAAATTCGTCAATTGAATCTGTATCCCATTTATGTATATCAAGAATATCTTCTACTTTATTGTCAGCATCCAGCAATTTAATGATTGGATCTAAACCTCTTACATATCTTATTTGCAAATTTTTGTATTTACTTGGTCGATCACTTTTTATAAATGCTAAAAAGATTTAATATTCTATAATTACTGTTTCTTCTTATCTCGATTTATTATGTCGTAATATATGTAATTAAATATTTTAATAAAAATTAATAAATATTTTAACAAAAAAAATATCGAGTACCTTGTATTTGAGGATATGCACCAAATTTACATGTGCAAACCTTAAGAATTGCTTTTGGATATCGTTTAAAGCCAGATACATCATAATCATCATCCTTCAAGCAACATTCCTTGCATTTGTCACTGAATCATGTAAACAACATATGCATTAAACACTTAAATCAGAAAAAAATTATGACAAATGAAATTTTTTTTCATTATTTAATAAACTTACTAGATTTCTGGTACATTATATTTATTGAATTTATCACAAGTTGAACATAACAGGTTAGCCTTATTAAAACCTAATTTTTTACAATCATCTGCAGAAAATTCTGCGTTAATAATAACTAGCTGTTAAAAAAATAAATATATAAAATTTTTTAACAAATATTATTATAAACAAATTATAAAATACACAGCAATTCTTACAAAAATCAAGGTATTTCACTATGAGATAAAGGTTATGTAAAAATTTAGTTTATAATTACCGTTAAACTAAGTAGAAATATATGTAAAAATGTTGAGATATACATAATTTATGATTATTTGAAATATTCTTTCTAAAACTTTCTTAATATCTAATAACAAACCAACGTAACGATCATATCACATAAGTATATTTCAATTTGTTTCTATATGAGGATTGTCTGATTTTATTGGTTATGTTACCATCGATATTCTATTTCTGCGCTTGCGTTTAGGAATTAGCTTTGTTCATAGACAAAAATTAATTAACGTCACTTTTGTTATATGTTATTCAACCACGTTTCAAATTTATCAGTTTATTTAATATAAGTGTTATTATATGTTATTATATCCTCCATTTATTTTCCATAAGTAATATATGTATATATACAACGAAATAAATTATACCTAAAAATGAAATTTAATAATTCCAAAATTTTTACAAATATAATTATAATTATAACAAACAACACATATTCCTACATATTACATAATACATAATTTATGATGGACTTATATTAAGAAAGTATTATTTCATTCTCATATCTTAATCTAATTCTTCCAAATGATCTAACTTAATTTTTGTTGAAAGACAAATATTTTGTGGAATTCTACTCTTCTTAGGTTTCTTTATCTGTTTCTGTCCAACTACATATTCCGGCATAATAACTTTGCAATTTCTAAATGTTGGCTTATCTTCTGGATATACAATACTCGATGAATTTTCTGATTTAGTTGATTTAGATTTTGGCTTTTTAAATTCCACTTTAGAAGTTGATTGAACTTGTTTTGATTTAAATGATACTTTAATATCATTTGTATTTGAAACTGTTTCATCTGTATCCATTTTATTTTCCAATTTTCTCTCTTGCATTTTACGTGCTTTCAATTCTCTTAAAAATGATAATGCTACACGGGTATTACTATGGTCTGTCATATCTTCATTAGATACATCATCTAAACTGTATTTGGTCCATTTATGAGGATTTCTATGATAATCCGGTATACTTCTATAGATAGAACGTGGAGCAGGTCCTTCTGGTCGCTTAAAAATACTTTGTCTTCCTCGAAATTTATGCGTTTCATATTTTCTTTTTCTATCATTTTCCATTGGCCGTGATCTACAAATTTCTCTCGATTCTATATTTACTTTCATATAATCTAAACGAGAATCTCCTCTACGTCTGTTATATTCTTTTTCTGCAATAGATAATTGATCTACCAATGCTTTCATTTTGTTTGAAAAAGCAGAGGAATTGTATTCTTGTTTTTCATTTACATTTGTATCATGTAATTCGTCATTCGGTGATAGTTTCATTTCTAAAGGGAAAATATCGAATTTTTACAAATCTATATACAATAAAATGTTCTCAAATGTTTTCAAAATAAAATCATAAAATATTAATAACTTACTGATATATTTGTAAAAAGGTTAATAAATTCCTTGAAATATTGAATTTGTGTTCCTTCTTTACTAGTTTTAGATTTATGTGTTAAATATTATTAATGAATTCATAAAACAATATAATCATAACTTATCAAAGTTATAAACAATACATACGTTATTTAATATTCGATTAATTTTAATTCAATGCAAAATAGGATGAAATAGAATGGACACTGGTATGCATAAAGCAGCGTAAAGGTTATGCGCAGAATATATCTATCTTCAACGTCATTGGACGATTCTTTTTCACAACAAAACTGTTTCTCTCAACCACCGTTGCATTCAAACGTAGTTCTCATTATTATTGTTAGAGTGCATCAAGTGTAATTTCTCATTAAAATGAAATGCCAAATTTTTAATTAAAATAGGTTAAAAAGTTATTAAAAATTCATCGTTCATATAAAATTAATTTTTTATTTATGAATTACTTGGGTTGTATGTAAAAGAGTAGCACACATAGATATTAAAATGTGATATTTAGTTTATTAATTTACTTTATATATACTTTGATAGTCTCTTTGTTTGGCATTAGTCTACACATAAAACTACGTAATTAAACGTCATTACACTATTGAATATTGTAAGATATAATTTGTTTTAAAAGTATCATATCAATCATATTCAACATTCCATCTATAATATAACATAAATTTTAAGTTCGTTCAAAAATTAATAAATATATATATATATATTATAACTAAACGATGTATATACATACAAAGAATAATTATTAATATTCACACAACGGTCGGTCATAATAGAAATGTAATACAATATAACGTTTCTAATAATACATAAAATTCTCAACGAGGCAAATATTAACTTGAAGATAATCAATTATGAATTATAATAGCAATAATAGGATTTTAAACGATTATAAACGAATGTCAATACGAAGATAAATTGTGTTCTATCAAAATCATTTAATTATGTATTATTACGTTTTTTCTTTTTTCGTTTTCTTTCTTTATTTTCTTTTTTATTTATTTATTTTTTAATTAAAAAAAAAAAAGAGCTAATTATTCATTCGTATCTAACTGAAATTAATAAACATAAAAAGATTTGTCAATACTAACGGATTATTTGAGAAGAGTATAAAAGTTCGTAAATAATAAAGTCTTTGATTCGCCATAGAAAAGCTGTATAAATGTAGAAACAAATTATATATATATATATATATATATATATATATATATATATACACATACACACATATGTATATATAGGCTGCTTTAGAAATAGATAATCAAAAACTTTGGTATCGTATCTTACTTTCCTTAAGGATGAAAAAAGGTCATGTTAGATTATCACGATACAATCAAAATTTGGCCACATATTTCCGAAGCATCTTGTATATATATATATATCTATAGCATATTAAATAATTGCACTTAGAAGCGATATTAATTCGCACAAACTTACATTGCTTTGAAATCAAATGAATGGACGAGACAATGTGTGTGTATATGTATGTTTGTATGTATATATAATATATATTATATATATATATGTATATGCTTATGCCGATTATTATTGCAAGTAACAACGTACGCATATTTCTCAGATCGATTACAATTGTTTTCTTCTAACTTTCTTCTAACTTCGGCTACATAGGAAATTCGCTAAATTTAAGTTAATAATGAACACAATCAAATTCAGACTAGATTACTATAATATTATAGCACGATATATATATATATATAAATATATAGGAATAATTATTAATAATTTATTTATCAAATTATATGTTACTGTTGTCTGTTTCTTATTTTGCAATTATTAGAAATAAATAAGACAATAAAATAAAGGAACATTTCGTGATTGTTAATCATTCTTCTGTTAGGAGAAAAATAATAAAAGTTGTGTTTAGCCTATGATATATAAAAATATTCATTCTTTCAATGCTCTCGAGATTGTAGTCTAAATGTATGTGTATATATATATATATATATATATATATATATATATATATATATGTATATGTATATATATATTAACTTTCCGGCAATTGACAATAAAACTGTTTACTCTATATGTATGTATATATGTATGTACTTTCTATTTTCAAATGTCTGACTAACTTTCGGAAAAACAATTAAACATAATTATTAAATATAATACGATTACTGTCATATAAATATTGTCATATAAAACATACAAGTTCTATTTTTTTTCTTCTTTTTTATAACGTTCGATGGCACTGTATAAGGAATATCGAAAATAAAAAAAAGAAAATTCATCGATTGAGATCTAAGTACCACGTTTTTCGTTGTTTTCGATTATTATCGATCTCATAAATTCTACATATATAATATTACTACTTAATTTTTTAATATCGAATTCAAAATGAAGAAAAAGGTGCAGTTGAAAACTTTTTTCATATTTATCTCGATAAGAGATTCAGTAATAAAATGTAAGATTTCTTTCGATCTTCGGATTTATTCGAATACGCACGCTAAGACGCGCACGAAACAGGTACAAATTCTGGAACATGCTTGACCGGCACACTCTTTCCGTCGATTTTTTCTATTATCTTGACGTTCCTTCTTACCTGATTTTAACATACTACAACCTTGACTATGATACGTTATCGTCCCAATTCTAGGTGTATTGGTTAGCCTCCATAAAGGATTGCTCGTGGAAATATTTATCTATAATTTAAATAATAATACAAAATATAATCATTATGACTATTAATTTATCTTTTTATCAAAAAAAAAAAAATATATATATATATATATATATATATATATATATATATATCGTACAATTGAAAATTTATCGTGTATGATAAAAAGAAAGAAAAATATTAAATTAAAAAATTAAATATCATAAAAAAAAAAACGTCGGATATTATAAATATCTAAAAGTTTACCTCTTCTTTACCAGGATGTCCAAGAATTTTGGCAAATATAAAAGCGGACTCTTCGCTAGTTAAAATACCATGGGCCATTGGGCCATCGATGAATTCCCTATCCGTCATAAGTAAATATCTTACAGAGTACCAAACTTCGTCCGATAACGATGCCCTTTTGTTCGATGATGTTGGTTCGACACCACGTTTTCTACAATTCGATGCAGCCCATCTATCGAGTGCAGCAAAAAGAATAGCTTCGTTAGGTAATCTCAATGTATCGCGGCACGCAATTTCCTTAACTTCCTTGACATTCAATTCCTCGAAACGTTCTTGAAGAAGTACAGTTGAAGGATCAGCATCAATGACATTTAAACATCGAAAGAGAAGTTCGGTACAGGCTGCAGCTATAAATATATTTTTTTTTTATTAAAAAAAAAAAATTGATAATTCAATTCAATAAAAAAAAAATGAAAATATCGATTGTACAATATTATTAAAATAAAATATTCACCTATTTCACTACCCTCGTCGTCGTCAGATGCTGGCGGAGCTGAAGGTCTATTAGACGATTCTTCCGTATCGTTATCTTGAGGCGTAGAAGGAGATAAACTATTTGCATATAGATGAAGATTTTCATAGATTTCGAGAACAGTCGAAGAATCTAAATTCTCTTCGAGATAATTTATTGCAAAACGTGCGAGATCTAAACAAATATATTGATGCGCTACATCGAGTGTTGCTCTGGCAGTTGATACTGATTGAAAGATAATGGGTTCGTCGTTCAGATATCTGTGACAGATAAATAAACAAATGTTCGTTGAAACATGAAATTAAATTCATTATATTATATTATTCTTGTCTTTCTCATTTTTTCCATTTGTCCTGATACATTTAAATCGTTTAGATGATATAATAAAATAATCTAAAAGATAAAAAAAGAAAAAGAAATTTTTTGTAGCTTTTAAAGTAATATTAAATCAATATTTAGATCTTGATTTATCTTCGTATCTTCTTTTTTCTTTTTTTTTTTTTTTTTTGAATTCATCTTGATATTTAAATAATTTATATAATCAAATAATCTAAAGAATAAAATTATTTATGACTTTAAGGGAATATCTTTGTGTCCTTTTAAATTCGAATTTATAACAACAAGTAAGATTTTTATGAGAATTGAAAAAGAATTAGCATAGTTTCTCAATTGTATGAATATTAAAAAATAAGAAAAAAAAGAAAAGTTGATAAGGATTGTAAATGTAATACCTGAAGAAATGATCGAACGCTCGTTTTTCGATATGTTTTATGGTTAAAAGAGGAGGAGGATCGGTTCGTTCTGGTGCCATGGGTCCCGTAAGCATTGCACGAAAGCATTCAGATTTTTTAGCCAATCGTTCCCTTTCTACACAATACCACCAGGTGTCCCCAGGCAACCCTACCTGCATTGACAGTAGACCGAAGAAATCTTACACACATGTTATTTCACCATCTGCTATCTTCTCAATACTTGTTAAATCGTAAATACATAGGACATGAACGATATGATTAATTAAATAATCATATATCAAGAAAGTATATTTCCTTTCGATCATTTTATATTATTTATCTTATAATAAAATTAAAATAAATAAGATAAAGAATTTAACTTTTTTTTTATCGCAAAAGCATTTTTTTTTTTTTTTTTTTTTAATTAAAAATTTGAATTAATTTAACATTAAAGTTTAAATCGAATATTATGAAAGATATTATTTATTTGAATGTCATCAAGTGTCATGATACTTTTTAATCATGATTTTTATTTTAAAACGAAAAATCTAAATAAAACTTTGTTTTATTTTTTAAATTTGAAATTAAAAATAATAAAATCTTTTTGTATTTTTCTTTTATTTTTTTAATTTTATTTTTTTAAATAAATGGATCTTGATTACTCATGACTTATATTTTAATAACAATTACATTTGATAATTATTAAATAATTGAGATCTTTATTGTTTTCTTATGAAAAAAGAAAAAACATGATCGAATATCTCTTATACATATACATAATAAACACAATAATATAATTAATATAAAATTAATATAAATACCTCGAGATTGACCATGTTACGAGGATCGATGTCAGACGTAGTCTCGTCCGATACGATAAGTGGAAGAACTTCGGACATATTTTTCGAGGACAAACGTATCGCAGTGACCTTGAGAGAGATCCTATTTCGTAGAAAAACCTCTCGAATGTTTTCCCACGTTTTTTCAGTCTCCGTATGCCCGATACATCTCGTATCATCGACTGAACGAAATAAATCAATAACTTTCTTCGTTAAATTCATCGAAGAAACTTTGGTTTTATTTTGTGTAAAAAAAAAAGAAGCAAAAAAAGAGAAAAAGAGAGAGAGAGAGAGAGAAGAAATTCTTAAAGTTTACAGTGAGAAATCGTATGGTATACTAATCGTCATAGGGACACTTTCGAACAATTGTTATCACCTTCAAAATTATATTTCAATCATTTTTTATCATCAATCCTTTTAAAATCCTACCGTAAAATGTACAAATATTTCCCATTAACCATGATGGTATCTAAGACACACATGGGTTTGGCAAGTATTCGCAATAGATAGTACGAAGTTCTGATTATTTTAGTATTTCTTCAATAACGATAAAAGATAAAAAGTTCTCTATACATAATATATATATATATATATATATATATATATATATATATATATATGTTGTCTATAAAGGGACGATATAGCGATAATTTATCTTTTCTATAAATCTTCGGTTTTCTAAAAAATCTTTCATTGAGTCAATGAAATTTCTTTTTTTTTTTTTAACCGATCAAAATCTAGAAAGTTATTTAACACACTCACATAAATATATATATATATATATATGTATATATACACATACATACGTATGTATGTATATATATATATATATACGCACACATATACTTAGAACTGTCACGAGAATTCACTTTAAAAATACATGAAATATAATTTTCTTAAAGGAATACATTGATAAATTTTCGAGGGAAACCATTCGAATTCTCGAACTCGACTGACAATTCAAATCGACTTTATCTTAAACATCAACTTAAATGTTAATTTAATGCCCTTAAATTTTATCGAATATGACGTGGATGACGACGACTGTTTATAAACATAAGCAGCTAACGAAAGTCAGTAAGAATGTATTTTCAATATGTTACTTCTTCCAAGACAAATATAAACAAATCGATACAATATCTACAAAAACCTATAGAGATCTTTTTTTGTATATTTTCTCCTTTTTATTTGGACGATCTTTGAACTACCAAGAAGTCGATAAAAATGTCATTGAACTTTAATTCGTATTTAAAGTCGATATTATCGATGACCAAATATTCTAACGAAAGTTAACGACTGATGATCCTCGTCTATTGATTATTTCAAGGAAAAAATATTTGTTTAAACGTTAGCGACAGCGCTTTCAATAAAATAAATGTATTCTTTGATCCTTGCTATTTCAATATTAAGGATGATCTAATTTGAATCATTAAAAGAGTAAAAAGAAAGAAAAGAAAAAGCATTTATTATTGATTAATCCTCCTAGAATTATTTGTATCTTTTGAATGAGCGAGATTGTCAAATATTAATTAAACGAGATTATATTTAATGTCTTACATATATATATATATATATATATATATATATATATATATATATATGTAAAAGAGAACAATATACGTCAACGATGAATTTCTATTTCTGTTTTCGTCAAGCTTTTCTCGTGCCAAGGTTGCTCATACGTATTCACTTGCCAAAAATAGGAAGATCGTTTTATTTGACGATGAAAATCAAGCGAAACTTTCGACTCGAAACGAACTACCAAGATGCTGATCTTTTGTCTCTCTCTCTCTCTCTCTCTCTCTCTCTTTCTTTCTCTCTCTCTCTCTTTCTCTCTCTCTCTCTCTCTCTCTTTCTTTCTCTCTCTCTCTCTTTCTCTCTCTCTCTCTCTCTCTCTCTCTCTCTGTCTCTGTTTCTTTTCTCTTAGAAAGGAGATCGTTGACTTTGAGGATCACGCTAATATTAGATCGACTAAAGAAAGAGTACAGACACGGGCCTACATGCCTCGATCTTTTCGAGTAATTCGCTATAAAAAGGCATACCATATGAATTATAAAATAAAATATTTTCAAATGAATATGTGTAGCATAAATAAATTGAAAGAGAGAAAGAGAGAGAGAGAAAAAGAAAGAGAGAAAATTGAAGGATAGCTCTAGATTGTTGAAAAAAAAATTAATGAATGAATAAAGAAAAAAAGAAAAGAGGAAAGAAAACTTGTTTCATAAGAATACAAAGATGTCGGTATACATCGTATGAAAAAAAAAAGAGTGGTTTAATAAAATTAATGCAAACCGACATCATCACTGGTAATTAAGTTAAACGAGTTCTTGCACACGGCCTTTTAATTCAATTGAAATTCATTACTTTTTGCGTTTTACACACCCGCATTAATCACTAAAATTTTTCATTTTCGTATGAGGAAGAGAAAATAGTGCAAAATATATCGGAAATAAATGCATGTACTTTTTATATTTTATGTACTTTTGAGTTTTTTACAAAATTTCAAAAATGTTGATTGATTTGATTCGTTAAGAATGAAAGATGATAAAAGAATGAAACATTTGTTAATTGAATCATGATTCATTGAAGTGAATCTTTTTTCTTCTTTTTTTTTTTTTTCTTGTTGCAAAAGCAATTTTATCGTCTTAACCATAACATGGTTTCACTATGGAGGTCTAAATTCCTTAGATAGACAAATGCAAGAACGAACGTAACCTCGGAATAGGAGGCAATGTATGCTATCTGACGATACGTATATTAAGTCCGGTTATCGTTGTCCACTCAAGTGTATCGAGTAACAAAAACTATCGTGTGAATTTGTAGAATGTAAAGTTACTTCATAAAAGTTTGTAATATAAAATGTATGCCATTCTTTTTCTTTTTTTTTCTCTCTCTCTCGATATATTTCTCAAAAGAAACAATTTAAAAAATAAAATATAATGAAATAAATTATATTACACAAATCGACATGTTTTTAATATAATAATAATTTCTTTCCTTTCTTTTTCTTTTTTCTTTTTTGATTCCTTTAACACACTCACGTTGACCGGTGAAACTTTAGTTATTTATTTATCAATGAACTTTCCTTTGTTTTTCTAATTTTACAAACGAGCCATGTCATTGGATTATTATTTTCTTTTTGTTACATCGAATTATTATTTTATTAAATTGTTTAGTTTGTTCACGACTTTGAGATAACAAGCGAGGGCGGTACATACTTTTGATTTATGTGCGTTTTATCTTGAAAGAAAAAAAAAAAATTATTAAAACCGCAAAAAAGGAAGTATCCTTGACATATAGAGATAAAACGAAAGTGATTAGCTCAATTGCAAATAAGTTTATAATAATATTACTCGGTATGCATTCATCGCACTAACAACAACAAAAACAATGACTATGAAAACAACAATAATAACAACAAAGCGAGTCTAATCAAAAATAATTTATCGAGATTAAGACGATAAATGAAATATCAAGATGAAAGTAAAAGTATTCAAGATTAAATTTGAAAACGGATCACGTTTGGAGTGTCACGTTGTGCCGTTGTTTCAATGTCAACAGATCTGAATCAAAGTACCCGTATGATCGTCGATTTGTTTCATACAAATTAAGAGACATTTTACATGGTTAGTCATATACTACATACATAAATAATTAAATAAATAAATTAAATAATTCATTCATTCATTTCGGGAGTTATTTGTATGGAGTTCATATAATCGAGAGAAAAGAAAAAAGAAAAGAAAAAAAGGAGTAAAAATAATATCGACGTGTCGATAAGTGCGCAAGTTATTATTTGATTAAAAATGATAACACGTAGGAAAACGAAGTCGCTCGTGAACAAATAAACTTCATTTAAGATATTTTATGGAAACATTTATCGCTTTATAATTTGTTTGAATAAATAAATTGCAAAAACGAGGGGAAGTAAAAATTTCTTTTTTTTTTTTATTTTTACTCTTAACAAACGATAAAACTCTATGACTCAATGATGTCTAAAAGAAGAATGAAATATTCGAAAAGAGGTGTTCGATTAATCGAATTGGAATGAATCTATCGGCTGGTCCTATTAAGAAGTACCCGCATTGTTGGAACCAATCGAAATCGTTCATTTAAGTTGATTTTAATCATCGATATAGAAATTTTTTTCTTTTTTATCTTTCTTTCATTCTCTCCGTTTTTTTTCTTTTTTTTTTTTTTGTTAATCGATATCAAAAGTGTTTGGACGAATGTCACGGTGAAAGTATACCATATTTAAATGAACGATTAAATTCTAGATCCTTTATCGTCGAATTATACGGTCACGTATATACGTAACTATGTACCAATTGTAAAAAAAAACTTGATTGAAAAAGTTCGAACGATTGGTAAAGGCTACATAGATGCATATATTCTATATACATACACATGCACATTATACAATATATATATATATATATAGATAGATAGATACAAGTTTCTACGTATTGTGTTTCGATTTTGTGTTTTTCTACGTTTCGCTCGTTGAGCTCTACTAGTTTGGATAGCAAACGTTCGTTGAATGCATTGATAGATCTTAATAATAAAGAAATGAGGTGAGAAAGAGAAAGAGAGAGAGAGAGAGAGAGAGAGAGAGAGAGAGAGAGAGAGAGAGAGAGAGAGTGGGAGGGAGAAATAAGAAGGAACAATGAATGCAAATGATAAAGAATGACTGGAAATTATATCACGTTGCAATTACGAATGATCCATGATCGAATTATTCATTTTAAAATTTTCTTCATCTCTTATTTTTTTTCCCTTTTTCTTTTTTTTTGTAGGAAACTATAAATCTCAAGTTCGAATAGTATTAATAATTTACCGGAAGACGAGTAACTTCTTTCAAGAACAATAAGATCGATTGTTAGCACCCTCAACACGAACGATACGGAATGAAAACGTTATGCGTAACAATGACAAATGTGTTAATTAAATCGGCACGCGTGTCGTAGTTGGGAAGTAAGAATGAATAACGTGCGAAAATTAGTCAACGATGGAAAATATTATGATCTTATGGAGAAACCTTGGGTAAAACTACTTGCGATACTTTAACAAGGTCTCCTTTAGCCAAAGAATTACGAACGTATCAAATTGTAGAAAAATATCACGATTACGAGAGCCAGGCTTTGCGTGCACGCATTCGTACATGAATGGAAGAAGAAAAATATTACCGGAAGACATTTATTCTTAACAAAAAAAAAAAAAAAAAAATAAAAAAAAAAACAAAAAAAAAGAAAAAAAAAAGAAAATTATATCGCAATCATAATAAATTTGATTAATTTACTATTAATTAATGTAAACGTTCGTATTGTTAACAAGAACAAAAAAAAAATAAATAAATAATAATATATATATATAAATAAAAATTATTTTACGTATAAAAAAATTGTTTAAAAATGACCTTAAAATATTGTAGAATTATTAATTATCATAAACGTTTTTACTCTTCGATCGAAATTATTCTATTGTATCACGTAGAAATCGAAGTTCCCTCTTTCATTCGAACTCTTTCATATTCCATCAACGAGATCTGTTTCAAGGAATTTTATGACTCAGTACGGCGATCAATATTGGATCGCACACATTTATTACAGCTGTACCGATTGTGAGACGCACACCTCTCTTGCATAATAAAGCTTCTCGTTGAGGAGATAATGATGGTTTCTTCGATGGTGGCTCATGCTAATTGCATCGTAATACTTTGCTCGATTTCTTTTTATTCAAACTTCATTAAGGATTTCCTCCGACAATTTCACACAAAAATTTGTTTATTAATGAAAAAATATTCATCATCAATGCCATCGTAAATCAATCGTAAATGAAATAGAAAGAAATGAATTTGTTCTTATTAAGATAAATCAGAAGAAAAGAAAAAAAGAAAATAAATAAACTACAAAATTCACGAATGTTTACCGATCATTATGAAAAATCTAATAAGTAAACACGTATTTTGTAATGGACACACGCAAGATACTATGAATAATTCATATGTAAATTTTTCTAATCGTTGAAGGAGAGAGAGAAAGGAACAAAAGTTTTTATTTATTTCTTTTTTTTTTTATAATAAAAATAAATAAAAACAAAAGAAATGTTTATAATCGAAAAAGCAATGTTTACAAAAATGCTTACCGGCCATTTTGAAAAATCCAACAAATCCAACAAGCAAACGCATATCTCGAATAGACACGTGAGATGCCATAGGTATAATTTCTATTCAAAATTTCTTTTTTTTTTTTTCTTTTCTTTTTACTTGAAACAAAACGAACGAAATATCGTTGACGAATAAGAACGTCGTATCAATTAAAACATTTCGCGTTTCACATCCGACGATGAACGAACGCGAAATGAACTGGCATCGAGTAGGTCCGTGCACTTTTGTCGTTTTGAATGCGACCGCCAGCATCCGGCCTGCAGGAAATCACGTGACCTATCGCGTCAACAATGGAATAAAACTTGCCGATTAATCGATTATCTTTTTTTTTTTATAGACGATTTTGCGGTGAAAAGATGAGACACATGAATGTATTAGAAATCTAATAGACCTATGTGAGATAAAGAGAGATAAAGAGAGAGAGAGAGAGAGAGAGAGAGGAAAGAGAGAGAGAGAGAGAGGAAAGAGAGAGAGAGAGAGAGAGAGAGAGAGAGGAAAGAGGAAGGAAGAGATAATCATGGAAAAAAACTATAGTTTAATGGAACTTCTCAATTTTCCATAAATGTAAATGAATCATGCTCTTCCTCATAGAAAGAAATAAAGTAAATGAATTTCCATTTCTTTTTTTACAAAATTGAACGAATGAAAGAAAAAAAAATTAAAAAAAGAAGAAAAATTAATTAAATAAAATAAAAGAAAAGAAAAGAGAATTTTATTTTTAAGAATTATTTGTACTTGATAATTGAAAATACCTTCTATTCGAAGTTACGATAATTCGTTTGAGGTCGTTAACAAGGTTTAACGTAATAAATGTATCTATTTCGATATTTTTAAAAGCAAAGAGAAAAGTTCAAGTCAATGTTATGAACGTGCAAATAATACTCTCCTGTAGTTTCAAATGTATATATACATAATGTATACATATACAGATATATATATATATATATATATATATATATATACACAAACGTACGTGAGTATGTGTGTTTATATAAACTTATGAGGATTAACTCGTGCCTGCATGACACACACGTGAGTTCATGTGATACCATCGAAATCGCATCGAGCACGACGATATAATAGTTCTTCTACCAATGATATCATTGGACTAATATGACAATCTTAGAAAGAGAGAAAGAAAGAGAGAGAGAGCGAAAGAGAAAGAGAGAGAGATAAATAAATAGAAAGAGAGAAAGAGACCAAAATAAAAAGAAACAATAAAGAATAAAATGCATAATATAAAATAATCTTATTTTTTGAAATGATCTTCGAATGTATCATCTATCTACATATGTACATGTTAATGTACATTATATACGTATCTAATATCTAAAACAACGATAACGGTTCATCGATAAGTCACATCGAATTAATGATTAAATCTAAATAGATTAATTTCAATGGTAATTGTTTCCTCGAACGTAGAACTACACCGTACGATTAGAAACAGTTTCTCGATCTGTCTGACTCACGCACTTTATAAAACGGGAATCGTACGTAATACGGTAAAATAAGAAACATTCAAGTTTACGATCGTATTATAAGTGAATAAGTGTTGATGCTATTTCAGGTGCAAACTCGACGGTCCCTAAACGTTTTCTTTCCTTTTCTTTTCTTTTTTTTTCTCAAGTTAATCGTTCATCGCTTTGATGATATCTTTAGAACTATTAGAAGGAACTCTTCGATTACTCGTCGAGTCATCATATATCGATATATCAATGTGAACCTTTGAAATGTTTTAATCGAGATCGAATTTATGTGATGTATCTATCAATTTAAAAAAAAAAAAAGGAATGGCCCTTTGATGTAACCAACATAGGACAAGTACCGGTGTGATCAATACTCTACCTACCTCAGTCTACAGTTTGACGCATACGCACACACATACGTACACAAGCACGCGCATACACGTATACGTACACAGGTATCTACATTCTCTGTTAAAGTACTCTCCCTCAGTAACCAGAGGAGGGACAGAGGACTGACTTGACTGGTGGTCGCTTTCTTTGCGCAAAATCCAGCTTGGCGCTGCGAATGAAAATAACGATTTTACAATGGTACACATTGCTATTACATATTGTTATACTCAACAATATATATATTACAATATATCGTATATCATTATAATACGTTCTATTCGCGATAATAAAGGAAAAACGTGAGACGTAAATGACGTAAATGAAAAAAAAAAAAAAAGAAAAGAAAAGAAAAAAAGAAACGAAAAAGGAAAGGAAAGAAACGAAAAGGATCAAGATAAAAATTTTGTTAAAAATATTACAGGCTCACATTATTGATACCTAGCATCTGTTTACTCGATTCACTATGGATACAAGACTTATCTATGATATCGTAGCAACATACGTATATATTTAGGTAGGTATCGATCGTTTCGCAGTAGTTTGGGCTTACAATAATCAGACGGAAACCTATTAAAATATTACTAACGAGATTATCATTGTTACGAAATTATAATTAGATAGAAATATACATTTATTGGATTGTGTGCTATTATAAATATTTCCAAGGGAAAAAAACTTCAGATACCAGTGATAGAAGGAAATTATTGGACGACGTTTAAAGTATGAAGGATTACTTACTTTTAGGGATTTATTTTTCTTCGATATCATATCCAATATTTCAACAGAGAAACGAACGAATATCGTAATAGGATGATAACGTTTTATTAGTTTCTTTGAATCATCGACCATGAATCGAACGAGGGAATATTGGTGAAGGGACAACATGAAGAGAGAGAGAGAGAGAGAGAGAGAGAGAGAGAGAGAGAGGAAGAGAGAGATAGTAAAAGAAGAGATAAAGAAACCTTGTAAAATTTTCACTGAAAAGTTTTCTTTACCCTTAATCACGTAAAATGTGGACAATACAAGATGTCGTAATGATAAATATGAAATAAAAATGATAAAGGAAGTAATAATTTAAAGGTAGCGTTACGAAATAATAATAATAATAATACCACCGTAAGAATAAATATGCGCGGAGAAATAATCTTCGTTGACAGAATTAACAAAGCTTGCGAATAATTATCAGTGATTAAATAGTCGCTCGTTCCCGTAGCTAACAACCGGCACTAAGACGAAGATTATCTCGTTGAAATAAAATGTTTATTCCCGCCACTGTTGTTCCATGAGTACACTTCCATGATTAGATAATATCATTTCATGAAAGTACCGAAATTTATAATCTTACTTTTAATTATATATATACACTAAGATTAACACTGGTAAGTATTAACTTATGCATTTCGAAGATTTATGATTGCTAATATATGATAATACCTTTTATGTATTCATACGAATAAAAAACTTCACTGGATACACGAAAATAAAAAAAAATAAAAAGAAATAATGATTTTCATTCACTTCACAATTTTTTTTTCTCTCTTTCCTTTTTGTTTTCTTTTTCTTTTTCTTTTGTTCTTTCTTTTTTCTTTTTCGTCTTTCTTTCTTTCTTTCACAGACGAACACTCGATAAATATAATACACCACTGTGTGTTTTAACGTTTAACTTACTCGATTAGTATCACCCTAAAAACTTATTGTGTGATCTATGAATATTTTTAAAGTGTATTTCTTTCTTTCTTTTTATCGAACGTTCGCTCGATAATTTTTTTTACTTTTTTTTTTTTTTAATTTTTAATAAATATTAATTGAAGCTATCATTTATTTATATCGAAAAATATTCGCACTTTAAGACTCGGACAACGTCTGCGTTGGCCGATTACTAGGTCTGCAATGAACATATAATTCGCACGAAGGAACCGGTGCCCTGGCATCGGGCATATCATTGGCTATACATAGCATGCGTCCCGATGCGCAGACGCCTAACATTCTCCGTTCTTTTCTCGTATAAACAATAACACGTTCTTTTTTTTTCCCCCCTTCTCCACCCCCACACCTCCCTCTTTCCCTGCCCCTCCTCGTCATAATTCATTTCTCAATACATTCTAAATTTTCTATTATTTCGAGAAATAAAAATTTACATTTTTATTGTTCATAGCAATTTTGACGATTACAATAATAGATGATACTTTTTAATAGGGAAGAAAAAATTTGTTATTCTAGTCAATATCTTTAAAGATCGAAAAATGTATTTTTAAATTTACGTTTTCAATTCGAAAAAACGTATAGATTGTAGAATTCACTTCGAAAATGTACGTGACCCCTTTTCATCCAAAACTGACCTAAATAATTTACATGAGTATCATAAAAATAACTATCCCACGAAATTAATATTTTTAGTGAGTTACCGATTGACCTGCTGTTCACATATTCTCATGGAAGATACGACAGGAAGAAATCTAATCATTAGATCCGGTACGGAACAATAAAGTTTTTAACATAATCGAGATAATAACTACATTAAGATGTATAACGCAATGCGTTAGCAGATCGATCTCAGTCACTAAAAATCGATTGTTCTACCTAAAATGGTACGTTAATTTGCGTTGAATAGTTTTTCCAATGTAGAACTTATCCTTGCGAGTAACTTAATTTGTCAATGCACCTTCGAAGACAAAGAGAAAAACGAGTGTATTTATAATTTCTTGTGTTATTCACCTTTGAAGAGGAAATGAATTGAAGAGAATTTCTTTCTCTTTTTCTCTCGTATTTCATAAACAATTATCTCGTTTGTGGATAAATAAGATCCTTATTAATGTGTGTGGATTAATGTCTGAATAATATTTAGATAAATAATAATTATAATAAAAATATAATGAAAAAGATTATAATTCAAGACATAATTGTTTATATATAATAATTTTTTCACTCGATAATATTATCCATGTATATACGTATATCAATAAAAATTTCTAACAAATCAATCAAAACAATTTTGTCTTATATTTTTACAAAGTAAATCTTTTGTTATCGGTAAATTAGATAGGGTAGGGTTTATTTGAATTGGTCTGAAGTAAAAATGTTGAATATGAATGTATATATCGATCCACTTACATTTTCGTCCCTGTGTAAGCCGTACGAAAGTAGGTCAAGTAACAAGATCCAGTCTTTAGGTATGGTCCATAGTCATCCGAGTTCGATAATACTTCCGATGAAAAATGAATCACTGAATAAAAAGAAAAAAGAAATATGCCTTAGATAAATGATGTATTGATAATTTACGAGAAATCGTAATACAAAGAAGTCAGTATTACGTTGAATCACCAAAAATTCATTAATTAATTTTGA